CCAGAGCACCTTCACGTCTTTATGAAAAGACTGCAGGTTGTGTATTAGCTTAGAGAATCAAGAGAAAGCACAGCATCTAACTTTAATCTTTTTACAGGAACTGTAAACTGTTCTAAACTGTTTTTAAGGCCACCAGTAGATGGCGCAGTTATGCACTGTTCCTCCTCATCACCAGCAGATGGTGCAGTTTTGCTCTGTCTTTCCTCATCACCAGCAGATGGCGCTGTTCTGCACTGTTCCTCCTCATCACCAGCAGATGGTGCTGTTCTACACTGTCCCTCCTCATCGCCAGCAGATGGCGCAGTTCTGCAGCGTCCCTCCTCATCGCCAGCAGATGGCGCAGTTCTGCACCGTGCCTCCTCATCGCCAGCAGATGGCACAGTTCTGCACCGTCCCTCCTCATCGCCAGCAGATGGCGCATTTCTGCACCGTGCCTCCTCATCGCCAGCAGATGGCGCAGTTCTGCACCGTGCCTCCTCATCGCCAGCAGATGGCGCAGTTTCGCACTGTCCCCCCTCTTCGCCAGCAGATGGTGCAGTTTCGCACTGTCCCTCCTCATCGCCAGCAGATGGCGCAGTTCTAGACTGTCCCTCCTCATCACCAGCAGTTTGGATGTTAGCTAATGCTAACACTATTAACGTGTGCTAGCAGCTAAAGAGTGTTTTGTTAATATTCTGATGAGGGGATGTCAGGAGCTCTGAAAAGGGATCCAAAGATAATTATTTTGTCTGAAAGCTGTTTTATGTTGTAAAACAGCAGAAGCTGCAGAGTTAGAATTAGTGTAGTAATTCTAACGTATATACCATCAATTAGAAGAGCAGTTCGAAAATTCTACGAACTTGTAAAACTCAAGGTAGCTCTGGACATACTGAACTATGCAATTTAAAAGATTTAACACTTAAATCGGTCAAGAGATGCTGCTCTAACAACTAAGAAATGTTTTACAGACCTGATTAAAAACCGTCAACCAAAGGTAAAGCAATCAGCACAACTAAACTTCATGCTACAGAGTCAAACAGAGAGAGGGAGTTGGTTGCTCGAACTTAGCTTGGAGCTCCTGTTTTCTGGTCCATGGTAACTCAAGAAATTAGCATATTTTTGACATATATATGTCAAAAACCAAAAGTTACCATCAATTTGACAACTAGATTTGAAATAGTTGCCTTTCTTGAAAGAAAAAAAAAAAAACACTAATACAAATTTGGGCTGACCAGTTTTCCTCATTCTGCTTCCAGCGTGGCAGGGTTTGGGATCCACTCAGAGTTCCAGTTTTGGAGATTTGGGAACGGCCCAAACCGAAGCCCTACCAAATGTGGGTGAAGTCAGTGACAAATGGGCCAGCCCAAATTTACCATACCACATGCTCCACCCATTTCAGGTGGAGCTAGAGTGCATCATTGATCCTCTGTGGGTCAGATGGTGCCTCAGAATGACACCACAACATTCTCTGGGCGCCCGGGGGAACGCGATGATGGAGCACACCACAGCCATTAACTTGACCAAGCGACGACAACAACATGATCAACTTCTTACAGTGATTTGAACAAAGAATCCTGCTGTGATGCTGATACTTACAGAGAGCAGCCAAGAGCGGACACAGCCTAATACACTACGTTAGTACCATAAAGAAAAGCAGAGCTGATCAAAACCAGTCAAACCTAATAAAAGCAGAGATCTAATTTTTTATCATGTGCAAACATTTGAGCACCCAAATGACATTTTGATGTTCTTAGTGTAAATAAGTTAACATACACCAATCAGGCATAACATTATGACCACCTCCTTGGTTCTACGCTCATTGTCCATTTTATCAGCTCCACTTACTATATAGGTGCACTTTGTAGTTCTACAGTTACAGACTGTAGTCCATCTGTTTCTCTGCATACTTTGTTAGCCCCCTTTTACCCTGTTCTTCAGTGGTCAGGACCCCCCATGGACCCTCACAGAGCAGGTACTTTTTGGGTGGTGGATCATTCTCAGCACTGCAGTAACACTGACGTGGTGGTGGTGTGTTAGTGTGTGTTGCGCTGGTCTGAGTGGATCAGACACAGCAGTGCTGCTGGAGTTTTTAAACACCTTAGTGTCACTGCTGGACTGAGAATAGTCCACCAACCAAAAATATCCAGCCAGCAGTGTCCTGTGACCACTGATGAAGGACTAGAGGATGACCAACACACAATGTGCAGCAGCAGATGAGCTGTCGTCTCTGACTTTACATCTACAAGGTGGACTGACAAGGTAGGAGTGTCTAATAGAGTGGACAGTGAGTGGACACAGTGTTTAAAAAAACTCCAGCAGCACTGCTGTGTCTGATCCACTTGCACCAGCACAACACACACACTATTTCCCCCATTATATTAAAAACAGGACTGCTGAACAGCAGAGGGCGCCCATGAGAAAGTCTTTAATGAAAAGGGATAAAAATTTATAGACAAGACTTTCTGGAGCTGAATTTTCTGTGCTTTTAGTACCCCTCTATGTCGCCATCTGCTGGACAAATGATATTATAGCATTTTTGCAATTAAAAAGATCATTAACGAACCACTGTACATAATATTTTCTCTCTTAAAGGGGTATGCCACCTTTTTTTTTTTCAAAATGTCTGCACAAGTAAAGCACTGTGATGTGAACAATGTCGTTTAGAGTGCTTTGGTGTGAAATGCTTCGTTTTACAGAAACTTACAGAACCAGAGTTGTTCACAGTGGTGGTGATAGGAATCAGACGTCCCCCTCTAAAAGCTCCCTCACAGAAAGTTATTATATTAAATGGTTATGAATTCACTGCCTGAAGTCTGAGACACTGTTTATGATAGTTTTGTGATAAAGGTTTGGACTAAAACATATTTTAATCGGTTTATTTTAATCTGTTCATGGTGGAGGGAAACATGTTGGGTGTTCCAAGGCAAAATATTCCCCAGTAAAACTTTTTGTTTCTAGATTTTCTACTATGGCACCATCATCAATGTCACACATAAACACTCCGAAGACAACTGCAGGTTCTCTGGTGGTTCTGGATAGTAAATAAAATGTCTATATTTGTGTTGTAGTCATGGTGACCCCTGGTTCCTATCACCACCACTGTAAAGACATCTGAGTCTGTAAGTTTCTCTAAAACAGAGCATTTCACACCAAACCAACCTGAACAACTTTGTTTACATCGTAACCACTGAATTATGTATGTAAAGTGTTCTCCTTTAAAAATAAAACTTTTTTTTTTTTAGAGGTAAGACATTTAAGTGAACAATTACTGCCCCCTACCTGCACACCTGAATGCTACTGTGCCAGCACATTTAAAAAGGGAAGAACATGGGGACAATAGAGCAACCTGAAACCAAGACAAAGGGAACAAAGGTCACTCTTGCAGAGACAAATGCTGGCAGGCCAAAATGAATCTGCATGGAATTTCCCTTCTGCAGAGAGTAAATCAGGACCTAACACCACACAAAATGGCAACGGACTCTCAACTTTACCTCACAGAGCCAGTGGGTAATTTCTACCCCTTGTGGAGAACCACAACATTCAGCAGATACACAAACTTCACTGTCCTCCAAATCAAGAAGAAAGCTGTTTTGAAAAACAGTGATGAGGAAACTGAAAGAGCAAAGACACACATGCATGTGTGCCATTTACCTGTGGAAGCGTTGGCACCAGGATGCACCTGGGGAAGAAGACGAACCTGCGGAGCGAGTGTGATGCTCTGGGCGAAGTTCTGGTCCGAGCTTTCACGTGAACATCAGTTTGACACGTGCCACCTACCAGAACATCGCTGTAGACCAGGTTCAGCCCTTCATGGTGATGGTGTTCTCCAGTGGTGGCCTCTTTCAGCAGGATAATGCGCCCTGCCTCAGGAACTGTTTGAGAAACATAAAGAGGTTCAGGGTGTTGCCCTGGCCTCCAAATTCCCCAGATCTCAATCCGATCAAGCATCTGTGGGATGTGCTGGAACAACATGTCCGATCTGCAGCGGCTCCACTGCGCAACTTACAGGACTCAAAGGATCTGCTGGTGCCAGAAATGACAGGGCACCTTCAGAGGTCTGAGAGTCGCTACCTCAGTGGGTTGGAGCTGTTTTGGCTGCACATGGAGGACCAACCGCATATTAGGCAGGTGGTGATAAAGGTCAATTGTATATGAATCCCTTTATATTGTGGACAAATTCAGGTTTGGTAATGTCAGTAACACAGAAGGAAAGAAACCTCAAGGTGCTCGTTCGGGAAAGACCTGTGCAGTGTACAGGCTCTGTGTGTACTGGAACCAGCGAAACTGTTCTTAATGCTAGTGTTTTAATTAGCTAATTTCCATGTCTATAGTGGCTCAATCCAGACTGCAAGTACTATAATGAGGCACAATAATGAGTTAAATTAATAAACAAATACATTTTAACTCACATGAATATCTTTTTCTCTGCCATGTTGGTCAGGCAGCTGTGAACAAACACGTCCAATCTGATTGGTCCTAGCTTGTATCCCAAGGAATTCTGGGTAAAATGCTGCTGCTGAGGCCAGAAGGGCACAAAGAGACACCCTATGGCAAATGAGGACTGTGGTATAAGTGATTTATACAAGCTGTGGGCAACAATAGGCAGCTGACACTTAATCCAGCCTCATGTTTGTCTTTCTTCTTCTTTCTATCAGGTGAGTAAATGTCAACAAACACTGTCCCTAGTCCATTCCAGTGAGCTAATTAGCAAGCGTCTCTAATTTATGAGATGAGAGGTTGTCCTCATGTCCAACAATGTTAGGGTAGCTACTCAAAATAAGTAATCAATCAATTACAGATTAACAATTTTTTTCCTTCCAAAACATCAATTAAAATCACTGTTCGTTATAAAACTAAGGAGTGTGCACTGCATGAACACTGCCTTTCTAGACTGTGAAGCAGTTATTCACCATGTTTAGGATGAATTTCAGGTCGCTACATCATGCAAATGTCCCATAGGAAGCCATTTCAGGTTCAGCCAGATTCAGGAGATGTTTTCAAACACAAACATTTGAGTTTCAGAGACTGAAAATTCTTTATTTCCAACACTGGTGATATTTCGAATTGTTCTAGCATTGCATGTGCAAAAGTCATTAAATCATTAAAGTCAGCAATAAAGTGCAAGACCATATGTGCAAAACAGGAAGAGAATCAATTCTTGCACTCTGTTGACTCTTCTGAAGTTTGCAAAAGAAAAAAAGAAAAAAGAAAAAAAATCAGCCAAATTTGACACTGAACATGAAACATCTTTTCTCTATTGATCACAGGCTGGCTAGCTAGTAAGTTTTGAAACAAAAGGAAAAACAGTACAAAAGCAGTGGCCCTGGGAGAACAGTCAGTGAGGGCAATGGAAATCAAGACACTGTGATTTTTTCCTGTCCACAGCCAATTAAATGTTGTTAACTGAATAATACACACTATATGGCCAAAAGTCTGTGGACACCTCTCTTAATTGTTTGTGTTTTTCAGCCAAGCACTTAGACAAACACTGGCAGCAACACACTAAAGAGCTCAGTTACTGTAAACATAGCACTGTCATAGGACGCCACCTTTGCCAATCAGTGAAATTTCTGCCCTGCTAGATCTGCCCGTCAAGTGTAAGTGCTATTATTGTGAAATGGAAGCAACAACTGAGCCACAGAACAAGTCACCATGCAAACTCACAGAGCCACCGAGTGCTGAAGCACATAAAAAAACGCCTATCCTCTGTTGCATCACTCACCACAGAGATCCAAACTGCCTCTGGAAGCAACATCAGCACAAGAACTTTGCGTCTAGAGCTTCATGGAATGGGTTTCCATGGCCGAGCTGGTACACACAAGCCTAAGCTTAAGCAAGTGTCAGCTGGAGTGGTGTAAAGCACGGCCCACTGTCCTCCGGAGCAGTGGAAACATATTCTCTGGGGTGATGTATTACACTTCACTATCCAGGAGCCTGATGGATGAATCTGGGTTTGGTGGATGTCAGGAGAACGTTACCTACCAGAACGCAGAGTGCCAGCAGTAAAGTTTGGTGGAGGAGGGATAGTGAGCTGGGGCTGTTTTTCAGGGTTTGGGCCCCTTAGTTCCAGTGAAGGGTGATGTTAATGCTTTTACATCTTTATATGCTTTCAACTTTGTGGCAGCAGTTTGGTGAAAGCCCTTTCCTGTTCCAACATGACTGTGTCCCTGTGCACAAAGCGAGCTCCATAAAGACATGGGCTGTGTTTGAAATAGTCTACTACATACTGCTAGCATACCAAAAGTAGTGTGCAGCATGTGACCAACATGAATTTCTCCAGTACGTCTAAGCGACCTGAATGACGTACTGCTGTGGCAAAGTATTCCAGCTTATGGACAGAACTGTCTTCATTATATACTGCATGCCAAAATGCAACATGGTCATTTCAGGGGGATGTAACCACTGACGTAAGCGTCTGGATATTTGTAATAGCCCTAAATTGAACCTTTCAGAACATTAATAACGGCGAAATGAAAAATTTGTCCAAATGTTGCTGCACTCAGTGCAACGCAAAAGCCACACCAGCTTTCTCTGCTGGTCTCAAGGTGGGCTTACATTGTCAACTAAATAAAGTTCACTTACTGTGTACATAACAAGGTTAAAACAATAAATTACTAAAGTAAACAATCCACTCAGGATTGGCTTTTCAGGCCAATGTGTGGAGTCACACAACAACTTCCTTCCCTCTGTTATGGTACGGTGTCACAAAGGCCCAGCTCTTGACCAAAACACAAACATACATTAATGAAAAGCAGCTAGAACAGCTGCTAAGCAGTGATTGACAGGCTGAGGAAAATAGGACAGGTTTTAAAGTCAGTCTGATTGGCTCAGTCTCTGACGTTGACTGTCTAGACACGCCCCTGTCCTGTAGTACATGACCTTTGTCATACTGGATACTGAAGAGTAATATACAGTTCCGAACATGTATGTATGCTACTCCGGACACAGTCATGGTTTGACCAGTTTGGTGTGGAGGAACTCCAGTGGGCTGCACAGACCTCAACCCCACTGAACACCTTTGGGGTGAACTGGAATGTTGACTGCGAGCCAGGCCCTCTCGTCCAACATCAGTGTCTGACCTTAACTGAATGGACACATATTCCCACAGACACACTCCAAAATCTTGTAGAAAGCATCCCAGAAGAGTGGAGCCACAAAAGGGGGGACCAACCCCATATCAACGCCCATGGTTTTGGAATGGGACGTCCAACAAGTTCATATAGGTATAATGGTCAATGGTGTCCCCATACTTTTGGCCATAATACGTATGACAGAACTTCAGCTTTTTTAATTAATGCCGCACAAAATAATGCAATAACGTTATAAAGTGATTAATAACATTGCATCACTTCACTCACCCAGTGTTGGCTGAGGTAAAAGATGCTTTAGCTCGCGAAGTAGCACCACGAAAGATGCAATTAAGGCTTGCGGCATCACACGCTCAAACAAAACCATCTCTTGAATGTTAATTTTCAACTGTTTTTCTTGGACTGCTGTTTATTAGCTTAAGCACAATTACAGTAAACTGTTACCTGAGTAGCTTAACAATACGGTTGTAATAAGTGGCATCTGTTTTGGCTAGCTACCTGTCAGTCTTCACTTTCTTGTGCATCAGCTGTAAGAAGAATAACAAAGTTTTACTTAGAACACGTGTCAGACTCCAGTCCTTGCAGGCCACAACACTGCAGACTTCAGCACACTGCCTCATTAAACACACCTTATTCAGCTCATCAGCTAATTAGCAAGGCTTTCATTGACTAAATTCAGAGCGTTAGATGATGGTAAGCGCTAATCCCCGCAGTGCTTTGGCCCGGAACGTCCCCAGTTTGACATGCCTGCCTTAGAATCAGGGCTGCGATTAAAAAGTGATTAAAAGTGCAAAATGGAACCACTTCCATTACGACACTGCTGTACAAAACTTGCACTTCTTACGAAGAAGGGCAGCTTAAATCAGCTCCTATAGAAATGTTTTTTTGAAACTAAACACGTTTTTTTGAAGCTGAACATTGTTTTTTTATAAATCTTTTTATATAAAATATCACTAGAGTCTTATTTACAAGTGCATCAGTATTTAAGTATATGAGGTCCAAGGCTCCTGACTAATACCATCCCATCATCCCAGGCACAATAAAAAAATGCATTTGGTGATGTAAAATCTGTTTTCCGATGCATTCCCCTAAATTAGCACTGAATAGCTGTAAAAAAAACAGACATATCATCATGAATGTACCGTATATGTAATCACATGCCAATGTTACATGCAGCAACTTTTGTTTTTTACCCAGTTTTTGTATATCTGTACACAATAATGCTTCCTTTTGTAATGCCATGTTAGCACAACACTAGCGATGGTGCATGTTCACATTTTATAGCAGCTCTAGCTTACAGGGTTTGTAACAGACACTAAAATAACATTTTGTATTCTTATACTGCTGTTTTAAGCTTAAAGCCTGGCTTAATCCAGAAGTAGCCTACTATTCACAGGCTGTATTAGCTGAGCAACTGTTATGCACGATGAATAGCCAATAATATGTCAGATACTGTCAAGGCATTTAAGATGCCCCACTCATTATCAGTCACTTATTTTGTTAGTTATACATTAATTTCATATACTTTTATTTACAATAATTTATGAAACCACTACATCATTTTTGTGTTTAGTTTCCTTTGGATCAAAATTCATTGTTCATTGTTTTTGGGATTCGATAGATGGGTAGCATAAGAATTTCACAGTTATATAAATAAAAGCCGTTCCAATATTTGGGACAGTCAGGACTGCAGACACAATGTTTTGGGACGCTTCTGGGATGGTTTTGAAAAAACGTAGTCAGGAGCCCTGCTGGCTTTCTCAGCTTTGCCCTTCGTAAGACCAGCACCCTCCCTCTAAGCTGCCCTCAAACCCCTGAGTGTGTGCGCTGGGAACCTCAAAGACATTGTCACTGCTGCCAACTGGGATCAGTGCCGTTGTGTCGAGAGTGTCCAAAGTCCTGCCTCTCTCAGTCACAGTCAGGTCCTGAGAGGTGCTGTAGAAGTGCTGGAGCAGGCTGCTGTCTTCCCCCATGTTGAGGCTAGAGACCTCCATGGACACATCCTTCATACTCCATGGATCCCTACATGGATATATCAGCTTATGAGCATCGTCTTCTGAGAAGGGGTAGGTGGGCTCCAGATCAAGGGTGCAGACGGGAACCTGGTGGATGGATCTGTCTATCTCGGCCGGGTCTTCACTAGTGGGTCTCCAGTCCTCTAGACTGTCGAGCTCCTACAGAAAAACAACAGGGAGAGGATGAGTGCTGATCTGGAGACATGGTGTATACACTCCTAAAAGAAAAAGAAAAAGAAAAGAAAAAAGCGTTTTTTGAAGCGAGGTCACATCCATGGATGTTTTCCTTAAAGAATCTGCTTATAATATTTTAAATATTTTTCTAATCCAAGAACCATCTAAGAGTCTATATACACTGACATGCCAAAAGTCCTGGGACAGGAAACAGTATCGCATAGGGCCCCCTCTAGCTTGACAAAGTGCAGCAACTTGACGTGGCATTGACTCCACAAGTCCACGAGTGGATAGAAGACGTCTAGAGGAACGCTGAGTCATGCCGTCTGGATAGCCACCCACAGCCCTGTGGTGTTTGTAGGCGCAGGATGTTTGTAGATATAAGTGGATCAGACACAGCAGTGCTGCTGGAGTTTTTAAACACTGTGTCCACTCACTGTCCACTCTATTAGACACTCCTACCTCGTCAGTCCACCTTGTAGATGTAAAGTCAGAGACGACAGCTCATCTAATGCTGCACATTCTGTGTTGGTCATCCTCTAGGTCCTTCATCAGTGGTCACAGGACGCAGCCCACAGGAGGCTGTTGGCTGGATATTTTTGGTTGGTGGACTATTCTCAGTCCAGCAGCGACACTGAGGTGTTTAAAAACTCCAGCAGCACTGCTGTGTCTGATCCACTCAGACCAGCACAACACACACTAACACACCACCACCACGTCAGTGTTACTGCAGTGCTGAGAATGATCCACCACCCCGATAATACCTGCTCTGTGGGGGTCCTGTGGGGGTCCTGACCACTGAAGAATAGGCTAACAAAGTATGCAGAGAAACAGATGGACTACAGTCTGTAATTGTCCAACTACAAAGTGGACCTATATAGTAAGTGGAGCTGATAGAACAGACAGTGAGTGTAGAAACAAGGAGGTGGTTTTAATGTTATGCCTGACTGGTGTATTTAATTTACTATTGAGGACAGTATTGCTCTCTCCAGGACAGGAAGGCTGACTGATGAAAGGGACTGATTGAGAGAAGAGACTGACCAATGAAATGTCATCAGACTGGAAAATCTGCTGCAGATCCAGAACGCTGGTGATGTCGGGGACATCAGGACCGTCTGCTACACTGCTGTCAGGACCTTGACCCTAAATACACACACACACACACACACACACACACACTGTTTTCATGAGTTCTGGTAAAGTCACCTGAGCTTCAGTCGATCACACTCAACATTAAAATACAGCCTCAATAGCAATTAAGCAACAAATAGGACAGTATGCTGAACATTTTCAGGCTGAAGCTAATGTACCTGTGCAACTAAATAACACACTGCTATCTACAAAATAAACAAACGTAACAGTATAACCGTTTAGTTTTACAAGAGCTGTATTAGTTAATTTCAATCGGGGCAAATAACCCAGACTAATTATTTAACAGAAAATTACACAGAAATTTCAACAACTAAATACAGAATTTTTTTCAGTATTTACTTCCATTCATTCAGGAGATCTGCTTTTAGTTTTTCAAAGACATATGGAGGGATTTTTTGCTCTCTTCCAAAGTTCAGTCTTAGGAGTTGGTTTCATTTTCTGCTTCTAGAAGAAATAGTATATTTTTGTTTTTTATTATATTCATAGCAAGTAAACAAATTGTAATCTCCGAAGCAAGCGCACAGGAGAATGTTAGTTACTGGGGGGCTTATTTAACCACGAAAAAGCATAGCTGAGAATCAGAAATAACAAAGACTTGCAAGACCAGTTTGTAGATGGTTTTCGTCTCATGTGATCTCAAACCACGTCAACCACCTTTGTCAAACCGTGTTTGAACAGGGATGCAATTGTTCTAATAAGTGTATTAATTACAGCAGGGACCTGGAAATATCTACAGGACATGCCAAGATGGTAGTATCTAATGGTTCCTGTATTGTAAACTGAGAAGAACCCAATGTTACATGTTTTACTGTTTCTTTTTTCTACTTTTTCCACTCAGCAGGGGTATGTTTGGAAACCTCTTTGATTCTATTAAAATGTAACTTGCTTGACGTGCAAATAACCTAAAGTCTAAAGTCTAGAACAGGGGTCGGCAACGTCCTTTACTGTCCTGTTGTGGCTCCACAGCTGAATCAGATTTATAGATAAAAAATAAAATAATCCTCCTTTACAGTAAAATAAAGCTCTGCTGATCGTTCAACACAGTTTAACAATAAATGGTCTTAAACTCTGGAGTTAATGTAGAACTGCTGATTCACCCTTTAACCCTGAAGATCAGCGCAGACTGCTGGTCACCATAGCAACACAGACAACAATCTCGCCTAGCTAGTAGCTAACGAAACGGCAAAGAGAGAGATTTAAGATGAACATCCATAACTTACAGATGATGGACTTATTGATGTTTATAATCACTCCAGCTGGTTTCCTGATATGTTTAATCTGCAACCAGAAACTGTCAAACACTAAAAAGTTGCGAAGCTGAAGTTAGCATTTTGTTCAGATTTTCTTGTTCCACCTTAAATGGTGCAGCAGTTACATTCTGGCGCCTCAGGCACCATTAAAGGTGGAACGGGAAAATTAGATCAAGATGCTGGCAAATGAGAAGCGACTTCAATTGAACACTGAGAGACATTTTACAAGAAACTATTCCACTTTTGATGAAAAGTTTCCTGCTGGAGATGCGAGAAAAGCAGCTAAAGCTTAAAGCAGAGCAAAGTTTTATATATTTTTTAGCCTATACTACAACATGGAACATACTGAGACATATTTACAGCCAAGACCGTAGAACATTACTTAAATAATAGGACATACATTGTTGTGGCTCCCAAAAAGGTTTGATTTTTTTCGAAAGGACAAAATGGCTCTTCTTAACATTTGAGTTGCCGACCTCTGGACTAGACGCTACTCAATGCTCAGTAAAAGCCAACTGGAGAACACTCTAGTGAGAGACAGGTAAGAATAAAGGCGTAGCTGTTGGCTAGCTACTTTAGTAGGCTACTCGCCTGCTGCTAATAACACAACCAAAGTGACGCATCGCTAGCAAAAATGAATAAATAAACACATTAAATACACAAATATAAGTTTTATATCAGTTTTAGACTCAACAGCACACTGTACATACAGCATTCTGCAATAAATGAAACTACATCAGGGAACAAAATAGCCACTATCATATTATTCACTGCATATTAATGCATTTGCGATGTATATGTTTCACTCTGTTGAAGATATTAGCTAAAATCATTGAAATTCATGTTACCAGCTGTGCCGTGGGTCACGCATAACACAAACTGGCTACATACACCCACCAAATGCATATGCAACACCTGGAATCAATTCCAGACCTTTTCTCTCTGTAAGTGTGGAATAAAAAGGGAACAGGCCACACCTGACCATGAAACTGCTCATCAGTCAAAAGATAAATTACTTTTGAGCTTGTGAAAATGGAGGGGCTACGTAAAAATGTCTGTGATTCTGATTAGTGCAATATTTTTGTTAAATCTCTTGAATTAAAGCTGAAAGTCACACTTCACATCTTCACTGCTTCATTTCAAATCCACTGTGGTGGTGTACAGAGGCAAAGTTACAAAAATTGTGACACTGTCCAAATACTTCTGGACCTGACTGTATGCACTAGGAGATTTGTTATGCAACAAACCACCTACAAGGTCTCAAGAACAATAAAAATTGTGGGTGGTAAATCGTTTTCAAATAGACAGAGACTGTGGTTAAAGAAGTAGTTAAAATAGTCAAAATAGGAAATGAATGAATGAATGAATAATGAATTAATGTGCTTGTTTCATTATCAAAATATTTTTATTATATTTTGTATACTTGCCTTAGATGTTAAAGCTGTCATCTCAGGAACTGCTTCTTTGCCTTTGGAGAAAAAAAGGAGAAATTATTTAAACTAGAGGAAAGTCATGATTTTTGCTTTGGTCTGTATGTCATTTGATAGCACACCTTAATCCCTACATATAAAAAGAATTCTATGTAAAATGATGTTCTCACTATTGAAATAAAATCCATCCATTTTTTTCTGACCAACCAACCAACGTAATTCTCGGCCTGAAAACACTCCTTTTTTGGAACTGAGATTAGTGACCTCATACTTACAGAGCTCAGATCATGGAAGACTGAATTTCCTTTGCTTTTTTGAAATAAAAGTGATTAATGTACAAAGACAGTATGTGGAACGCAAATAAAACAGTGATTTGTAAAACCATTTTGACCTGTATTTAAACAAAAACAGTATAAAGACAAGATATTCATAGATTATATCTGACCATCATTATGAAACAGTCCAAAAGAATTTTAAGACAATGCACAGGGGAAGTCATTCATCCACAATGTCCAGAAACACCGCCGACTTCTCTGGGCTTGAGCTCATGTGAAATGGACTGGGCACAGCAGAAACATGTATTGTGGTCTGACAAGTCCACCTTTCAGACTGTTTATAGAAATAACGGACGCCGTGTTCTGTGGGCCACCCACAGAACACGGCTACCAGCATAAAGTTCAAAAGCTGTGGATCATTTCTTTTGGCACAGCAACAGTCTGTTTGATTCTGAGGGATAAATAAAGGGAAAATGGGCATGTAATAATAACCTCAGACTGTTTTGGTACATAAACTCAAACAAACGTTCTAAGTGTAGAACATAGGTCCTTTAAGAGCTCTTAATCTGCCAAAGGAACACAAAAGGCCACACACAACTTGTTCTGAATTTACAGAAAACATGGTGGCTCTGGATATTTTATGGTGTTGTTACAGTTTTTTAAATGCTAACAAGCATTTTCACTTCTCTTTTTTTCAAAACTCTTCACACAGTTAGCAGAACAACAGTCTGTTTGGACGAAACCATGAACAGTTTCCTCCTTGCTTGAATACAGTCAACACAATTTCCAATAATCTGTCAATTACTTCTCACTCAATCTCAGCAAAACTGTATTTTTACAAATCTACAAAACTATTACACTTATCTCTACTATCAAACATGGAAATAAACTGCTTATCAATTTAATATGCCACATTGTGCCAAAATTCTAATGGTTATAGAGCCAAACTGCTGATTGACTGTATGTAAACAGGCCAATGGCAGCTCATCCTCATCTGAGCTGAAGTTCTATTCAGATGTTGACCGTCTATAAAAAGGGGTAACGTCCGAAGCTGTCTGGTTCACAATGCATGGTCCATTACGGCCCTGAACATAATAAGCAAGGGCTTACTTGTACGTGTATAAGCACGACATGACATCAAGTGTGATGTGGATGAGAACATATGGTCAGATAATATATATCAAAGGTACACCACTCTTTCACTTTAAAGAATAGAGTAATAATAATACGGTAACAAGCAATTTAACTGGAACTCAAACAATGTAAAGCAAAATTTTGGTTCAGATGAACAAAATCAATATTTAACACCAACTCAGTACTACTACCTAGATTAAAACAGGGGATCTACTTTAATCCCAACAGTACTGTGTTTCTGAAATGACTGTGCTGTTACTGACAGAGTAATATAGTTGTTGTGCAGTAGTGTCGATATTAGATTGTTTTGGGTTAATATTTGATCATTTTAGGTATAAAATAAACAGTTTTTGTTTACTCTGTGCTGCAGAGTGGAGAATGAAGAGTTCTGAAAAAGTGAACTTGGCACGGAAAAAGGTGAGGGAGCTTTTCCAGGTGGACGTCTGGTTCCTATTGCCACCACTGTGAACAGTTCTGACTCTGTAAGTTTCTCTAGAACAGAACGTTTCACACCAAACCACTCTGGATGAATCTGTTTACATCTTAATGCTTAAACTATAATCAATAATGTTTATAATAGTAATAACTGTGGCAGTCATATATACTCATGTATATCCCTGAAAACTGCACAGATTGCTCACCCTTCTCCGTTGGTGTGCTGGACGTGGATGGAGAGGACAGCAGGTCAGAAGTAGATGCTGGGTAGGTTGATTCCATGGAGGTAGGGGAGGTATTTGAAAATGCAGTAGATGTTGATATGGGTACAGCAGTGCAGCTGAATGAGGTAGTGGAAGACTGGAGGGGGACTGGTTGGGTTGAGACAGGTGGGCTAGCTGCAGGTTGAGTGGTAGTAACACAGGTGGTCCCATCAAAGTAAACAGTGAATAAATAAATAAATAAATACATACATACATGATGAGATATGATAGAACAGTGTATCCACTGCAGTGCACAGCACGAAAAAACTTAAATTTTTTGAAGTACTATTTAAATATGATGATTCTTCAAGGGTTCTTTAGTCAAGAAATGGTTTTATATAAAACCATGAACACTCAAAGAACCCTTTGCACGATTAAAGGGTATTTTGTATCATTAAATGGTTCTACATAGTTCTGAAACTCTTATGATGTCAAGCTTGTATATATCTATAACAGAGGAACCCTTTTTGGTGCTATAGAGAACCATTCTCAAAAAGGTTCCATAAAGAACCATCTACAGCACATTCTCCATCAATCTGAAGAACCATTTCACCATGCAAAGAACACTTTAATCGGGCAAAGGGTTCTTTGAGTGTTCATGGTTCTATGTTGAACCATTTTCCTTACGAAAGAACCCTTGAAGAACCATCTTTAAGAGTGTATGGGATCAAGAGAGGTTGGTAATTGTTTGGGAAATGAATGAAAGTGTTTTTGGTACATATAAACCCACACCTGTCAACAGTGAACCTTATAAGTCAATAAAATGCAGAAAAAACAGAATACGGCTGCTTAAACTAGCAGAGAGCGAACAGAAGTGTGGAGTACTGGAGGATTCATTTACTTTTCCAATTTACACGACTGATATTTTTCCCAGTACTGCACAATCAAACACAAACAAGTGGAGATTTCCTATTTTTCACCGAAGGAACATGGTGGGCGCTGGATTATCCAGCACTGTACAAGTAACTACTACTGATTTTGTAAGGTACACATCAGGTGAACCTACCATTCAGAAAATTCTCAAAAACAGACTGTATGGCTTTGTATGCCGTTCGCTCCTGCGGGCTGGGATTCTCAGACAAGTTCAAGATTTCTGTCATCACCTTTGACCCTTTCTTCTTCCCCAGCAGAAGAAGAGGGATGTATCCAGCAGCCTGCAGATTGTGAAGCTGAAATCACAACGACATGTAAAATGGAAATTAGCTTTGAGGGAAAGACTATGGAAGACCATAATGACCTGGAGTTACTGTTTCACAATAATATTTACCTGAAAACAAGTAACAATGTTGCACACTGAGGAGCCAAAACATTATGACCACCTGACTAATAAGCTTTGGTTCTCTGTGTGGAGCCAAAACGGCTCCAACTTGCCGAGGTATGGGCTCTACAAGACCTCTGAAGGTGCTCTGTGGTGTCTGGCACCAAGATGTAGCAGCACATCCTTTAAATTCTGTAAGATTAATTGGAGCCGCCGCAGATTGGACATGTTGTTCCCGTTCACAAACAATGTGTGCAGTGTGGCAGGCGCATTATCCTGCCACCACCGGAGAACACCATCACCAAGAAGGGGTGTACATTGTCCACAACGATGTTAAGGTAGGTGGCACGTGTCAAACTGACGTCCAAATGAAATTTCAGACCAGAATATTGCCCAGAGCATCACACTCCCTCCACCAGCTTGTCTTCTTCCCACAGTGCATCCTGATCCATCACTTCCCCAGGTTAACAGTGCACACGTGCCCGGCCGTCCTTGTGATGCAAAAGAAAACAGGACTCCTTATCGGACCAGGTGACCTTCCATCGCTCTAACAGTTCCAACACTTGTTTACCAGTTGGAGGTGTTTTAACACTGCACAGCATTCAGCATGAGCATCCTGACTGGTCTGTGGTTCAGCAGCTCCATACACAGCAGGGTGTGATGCACTGTGTGTTGTGATTCCTCCTGTAATCATTTGTGCCATACGCCCATCCCCCGGGCCCTGATGACAGCTGCGACAGCCGTCAGGAAGGCGGGGCCCAAACCCTGAGCAAGGACGAAACCCCATGAGGACGCAGGATGAACTTACGTTCGATCCACGCGGGGGGGGGTGATGGGGAGGCGGAGCAACAAATTCTCTCCCTCTCAGTTTAGAAGCTGTTAAAAGGCACCTTTAAAAAGAACAGAGAGGGAACAGAGAGAGAGACCAAATAGTCTAGTGTAGTAGCCACTAAGAGGTGGTCAATTTGTTTGTGTTTTGTTAGTAAAAATGAAAAATATGGCTGCTGCAGATGCTTCTCCTGCCTCCAGCATCCTTCCTGAGCCCAGGGTAGCACATGGCATGCTGCACCATCATTAAACATTTCTGTACTTAGTTTAAATCAGACATGATCATTGCAGACATGCAGCAATGAGCCTTGGGTGCCCAACACCTTATCGCCGGCCCATGGTTTGTCCCTCCTCAAACCGCTTTTGGTAGGGACTCACCACTGCTGACCAGGTTCGTCCCACAAGCCTTGCCGTTTTGGAGATGGACATAACAATTCAGCCCTTGTCAAAGTCTTTCAGGTCTTCACGTCTGCACATTTCTCCTGCATCCAACAAAGTGACTAAGACAGCCAGCTGCTCACTGATCATCTAATACAACCCAGAGCTTGACACACGCCGATATTACAAGATAACCAAGACTATTCACTTCATCTGTGCGTGGTCATAATGTTTTAGCCCAGAGTTTGTGTGGATGAATCACATTTACAGACAGATGGGTGGATTTTTACCCATTAAACAGGTTTGAAACTGATGATATTTTACTCACATGCACATAAGCAGCGTCCTTTAACTTGACTGCATTCGCCTTCAGTGCATGGGGAGACTGTACGATCCGCTGTTTAGCCCTTTCGAGTCTTTTCTGTTTAAGTACTTTATAAGGCTGTGTTCCTCCACAGGCCTTGCATATTTTACTTGCCACACCAATGGTGGCCTGGCACGATGTGCATATTTTGGTGGTTGATCCCGGCATCTCCGCTCAGATAACAGCAAGCGAATAACATCCAAGTGGACCACGCAAAAAAGGCCCATCAATGTCTGTGTATGAACCTCTGCACATGTTGGACAGACAGTGACACAGACAGAGAGAAAGAAAGAACGTTCATGGTTAATACCTTTGCATTTTAGTTGTTACATTATATTACATACGTTTGCAAAGGTCTGGGCACCCCTGGTCAAATTACATGCTTCGAATGAGTGTAAATAAGTGAACACATCATCTACAAAGAACACACTTCTGTACATTTTAATAATGTTTATTTGCTGAATTTAATATCTTGGTACAAAAACAAAACATAAAATAAGGCACAAAAGTTATGATGTGTTTTTTATTTTATGTTTTAGTTTTTTTAAATGTTAAATTTAGCAGATAAATAGAGATCTTGCACTAAAATTTGGAGCAAAATACTATAATTCGACCCCTGGAGACAATACGTTAACTTATTTTCACTTCGAAAACCACCAAAACATTGGTGTAGGTTCACTGGTGGTTTTGGATAGTGAATAAAATGTCTATATCTGTGTTGTAGTCATGGCGATGCCTGGTTCCTATCACCACCACTGTAAAGACATCTGAGTCAGTAAGTTTTTTTTTAGAATGCAAGTGAATTTTACACCAAACCGCTCAACACCAAACCACTTTGCATGACTTTGTTTACATCTCAACCACTGAATTATGGAGAAATCAGGAAATCTGGAGTTCCTCTTTAACATGTGTGAACCTACAAGCTCTGCTTATTTACTACATTACAACATATGTGACGTCTTGGGCTTATTCAAAGTGTTCATTCTCATTTTATCAGCATGTTTACAGTTATCTGACCACTTCATACAATTACAGCAGTAAAATATCTTAGCCACGGCCACCTGAGGAAGCTGCCTGCTTACCTCACTGTCTTTAGGTTTACTTTCACTTTCGGGTTTGGGTTTGTTTTCCGTGTTTTGCCAGACAGACAGACAGACAGACAAGGAGGACAAAAAGTGTTGGTTAAATCAGTTTATCTACCTATACGGTGATAATAATGGCGCTATTTAACCCTCGAGACTATATAAGTGACGATAACAACAACAACAACATTCCCCAGCCGCTTGTTGGGGCGCCAGAATGTAACCGCTGCACCATTTAAGGTGGAACGGGACAGTTCGAAAAAGCTCCTGGCGAACAGAACAACCAACTTCACCCTCGTAAAACATACGACAACCAACCCACATTTGGGACTATCAGTATCTCTCCTGACCTTTTTGAGACCACCTAACGACCACCTTTCCGAAAACACAGCCAAGTATCAATCCAGCGGCTGAAATCTGAGCAGCCTCTCAGAAAAACAAGGAAGAGGAGTCAGTCAGCGCAGTTATCTCGAAGAACAACATCAATTAACCCACCTTTCCTTGTTCGTGTTCCAAGACAAATTAGCTCAGTTCCGAACCGCAGAGAACAATAAACCCCCAGAGAGACGGTCTGGCTGAATAAAGCTGTGAATAAACCCTGCAGAGATTCACTGACAGATAACTGATTACCTGCAGGCTCTGCTACTGAGCTCCGGGGTTTGTTTGTAAGCGGTAAAAACAGAGAAAGAGCGCTGCTATTGGCTATTTCAAGCGTGACGTGGCCGTGACGTCGCCCCAAATTCGTAACATCTGTACGTATTGAAGACAGCTTAATATTGTGGAAACTATCCAGACACAGAACTTGTTTGGCACTGTCAATAAATAAAATAATAATTGGCAAACAAATGGCTTTTATTGTTCATAATGTTGATGTGAATTATTGATTATTGTGGAAACGTGTATTATTTGGTCTTTCGGAAAATCACACATGTATATGTGATAAACTTTATACTTTTAATGGCTAAGTTTTAAATTCCTAGGTGTAAATTCTCAGGCAAAAGGCCCATTTTTGGCCTCTGAAAAGGAGATTGGACATTATATTGAATTAACACAGCCTTCCTTAAAACAAAAAGCTAGTAGAACTGTTTAAGCATGTACATAATACAAGCCCATTTCCAAAAAAGTTGGGACGCTGTGCAAAATGTAAATAAAAACAAAATGCAATGATGTACAAATCATTTAAACCCTATATTTCATTGAAAATAATACAAAGACAACATCTCAAATGTTGTATTCTTTGTTAAAAAATATATGCCAATTTTGTATTTGACATTAACAACACGTTCCAAAAAAGTTGGGACAGGGGCAACAAAAAGGCTGGTAAAGTTGTGTAGTGCTAAAAAAACACCTGGTGGTTAATTGGCAACAGGTTAGTAACATTATTGGGTATAAAAAAGCATCTCAGAGAGGCGGAGTCTTTTAGAAGTAAAGATGGGGAGGGGTTTTCACCACTCTGTGAAAGACTGCACAATCAAATAGTGCAACAATTCAAGAATAACGTTTCACAACATAAAATAGCAAAGAACTTTTGCTTCTCATCATCTACGCTACATAATAACATTAAAAGATTCAGAGAATCTGGAGAAATTTCTGTATGCAAGGGACAAGGCCAAAAACCAGTATTTGCTGGCCGTGATCTTTGGGCCCTCAGACGCCACTGCATTAAAAACAGACATGATTCTGTAGTGGAAATCACTGCATGGGCTCAGAAACATTTCTGAAAACCACTGTCTATGAAAACAGTTCATCACTGCATCCACAAATGCAAGTTAAAACTCTAAAATGCAAAGAAAAAAACAAATATAAACAGGATCCAGAAACGCTGCCACCTTCTCTGGGCCTGAGCACATTTAAAATGGACTGAGGGGAAGTGGAAAAGTGTCCTGAGGTCCGACGCATCAACATTTGATATTCTTTTTGGAAATCATGTACACTGTGTCCTCTGGGCTAAAGACCACTCACCTTGTTATCAGTGCACAGTTCTAAAGCCAGTATTCATGATGGTATAGGGGGTCATTAGTGGCCATGGCATGGGTGACCTGCATATCTGTGAAGGCACCATTAATTCTGAATGATATATACATGTTTTGGCAACATATGCTGCCGTCCACACGACGTCTTTTTCAGGGAAGGCATTGATTATTTCAGCAAGACAATGCCAAACCACATTCTGCATGTATTACAGCAGCATTTCACCGTATTAAAAGAATCCAGGTGCTAAACTGGCCTGCCTGCAGTTCAGACCTGTCACCACTGAAAACATTTAGCACATTATAAAATGAAAAATATGACAAAGGAGACCCTGAACTGTTGAGCAGCTGAAATTCTATATCAAACAAGAACAGGAAAACATTTCACTTTCTAAACTACAGCCGTGTCTCTTCAGTTCCCAAATGCTTACAGAGTGTTCTTAAAAGAAGAGGTGATGAGACACAGTGGTAAACATGTCCTTGTCCCAACTTTTTTTGGAATGTGGTGTTGGCATCAAATTCAAAATGTGCAAATATTTTTCAAAAAACAATAACATTTCTCGGTTTCAACATTTGAAATGTTGTCTTTGTAGTATTTTCCTTTAAAAATATGGTTTACATGATTTGCATATCATTGCATCCTACTTTTATTTACATTCTGCACAGCGTCCCAACTTTTTAGGGAATGGGATTGTGCAAGAAGATTGTTGTGTTTATGTATATCCCCCGAGCAAATTTGTTCATATATGTATACACTGCTATATGTATATTATTTATATGCATTTAATGCTGTGTAATATGTTTTGCTTCAATAAAAAAGAGCATGCAGCTCCAGAATATACGCTAAAAAGTAATGCTATCACATAAACAGGATGAAATCTGGCTGCCTTTCTTTCTCAAGCAGGCTTTGTCTTAATATAGTATAGTTATAGTATTGTACAGTCTTAACACAATATAGTTAATATCATAATTATTTATTGTTTTACATACCTAGATGCCGCATTGTCGGTTGTTCTCTATCTGAAGCGATAACGTCTGCCCGTCCGCCATGTTGGAGCGGTCAAGATCCACTTGTGAACAAATGCACTCGTATGGAGAGATGATGAGTTTTAGGATTAAATCAGCCACAACTTCATTAATACTCAACCGCAGCCCAGCACATATGTTTAAATACCAAGATGCCACGTCGGGTCCAGCCAGGCACATCAACAGCGCCTCCACTTCGGGGCGGTAAACATTGCTGCTGGACTGCATTCAGTACCATCACAGAGCGGCAGTTTAAGAAAGATACTGTCCAGAATTACACTATTTCAGGAATATCACAGTCAGAAAGTGGGATAGGATTATATAACGGAGGGAACGCAGTGATCCACACTCATGTCTGTGTGATGCGTATTGTGTGTGTGATGTTTATGTAGATGTGGCCGTGTGGTTGGTGAAGCACAGAGAACCTGTTGATGTGATTGTTTTTCCTCTGGTTTTATATGAAGCTCATTTCATTTAATGGTCTATTCAGGGGATCTTAACTTAATGCAGTAGTTATTTATTTACAATTATGGTTAATGCTTTGTAGCAGTAAATTATAGTATTCCTTAATCCCTGTAGATATTCATAACAGATTAACGTTAGCACCTTCTTACACGAACCTTAAGTTAACTTCTTATTTGTCAGCTTCTTGATCAAATTTTCCCATTCCACCTTAAATGGTGCAGCCTCAGGCATCAGAAAGTGACTGCTGAATCATTTAAGGTGGAATAGGAAAACTCGAAGAAGAAGCTGGCGAATAAGAAGCAAACTTAAGGTATGTATATCTATGGTTAATATAGAATAGGTAATGTTGTTGTTGTAGTACCTTCACATCAAACAGTACATACATATCTTCATAAACATACAATCTTCAAAAGAAACACCATCAATGCATGTTTAACTATTAACGATGGCATGTGGCAAACATGCTCATTAGATGAATCCCAAAGAGGGCCTCAATTAACAGCTTCTTTACAAACACTGAAGTTCCTGCTAAAGACTGAGTAGAAAGACTGGTTAATAACACAGTTTCTAAAGGTCAGATCTCAACTCTGTACAGACATTTTGCAAATAAATCAAATGAAGCAACAAACTCTAAGAAACTGGCATGGAGTCATGATTTACAAAGTGCTATTAGCGAAGAAGATTGGAATTATAGTTGCCTGTACACTCATAATCTTTCAACAAATACACGTCTCAAATTAACTCAGTATAACTGGTTGATGAGAACTTATATTACTCCAGAGAAACTGTGCAGAATTAACCCAGAGAGATTCACCCAGATATCGCAGACACATGTATAAAATGTACAGAACAAAAGGGAACATTGTTTCATTGTTTATGGGAGTGTACAGCAATACAGAACTTCTGGAGGCAAATGATAGGAATTATTTCCAGGATTCTCTCCATAGAAATACCCACCAGTCCAAAACCGTGTATTCTAGGTTTGTACCCAGAGACCCTATCGCTTAAAAGACATGAAAGCAAAATGGTGGACCTCTGTCTAATATATGCTAAACGCCTGAATTGCACACACTCGAAAAGTATATATGCACCTTCGGTGAATGCGTGGCTGAAAGAGTTGTCTTCCTGTCTAATCCTGGAAAGGATAACTTACACGATAAAAGGAAAACTTGAGGCTTTTTATAAATATGGAGATTGTTTCTGAAATTTAAAGAGGAAGTAGATATTGAATCAGCACCCTGATGTTCCAAAGCAAAAATGTATTGTTTAATTTATATATATGTGTATTTATTTATATTCCACAATATGCTTTATGATTCTGCATCTGTAAAGCCTGGGACTAATGTACATTGTGTAGTAACGTCAGTTTGAACTAATGTTATAAGCTATGAGATGGTGGGAAGTTGGGGGAAGGGAGAAAGGGCAAGGTGTTTTATGTAACTTGTTTGAATGGTTAAATACTTCAATAAAGACAAGTTAAAAAAAAAAGACTGAGTGGACTGATAAATCAATGTGTTGAACCAGATCAGTGTGAAGATTAATCTTCTCTGGAGGGGATTGTTTGCAAGTGATAAATTTAGCATCGGTGTTGTACTGGACCCCTGTTCAGGGGATTGTAGGAGCAGCAGTGAACTGACGCAGGCGATGAGAGGAAGAGGGTTTGACTGCAGAGCCGCAGATTCACACCCACAGTTTCACTCTAGCTGTTTCAGACCAGTGCATCGCATGCACAGTAAGACAGCATGATTTTGCCAAGTAAAAGTCCTTATAAGAAAGTTGAGCGTTATGAGCATCACATTCATATTTCAGCCAGTGGCCGGTCTCCTCATTTATAACTGTTTGTGCTGGTTGTATGTGTCGACATGCATATTACCGTTCAGGAAGGGAGACCGCTGCCAATATATGGTTCAGCCACTGGTAACCGGTTAAACTATAAAACAAAACACATTACCAAACCATCAGAAACCAAAAGAAACACTTAATGGTTTCTGTGGGTTTTTTTCAGCAGTGAAACGTTCAAAGACT